TTCCTATGTGCGTTAGATATTTACTTTTCTTCTTGGGTGAAAATAGATTTTCTACTGGCAAGGACTTTATCTCAACTTGTCAGAGATCTTCCCGTGTTCGGGTTGCTAAATTTTTGACGTGTATGCTATACTATGTCCCTCCGTGTGTCCCTTTGATGGTGGTTGTGCCATCCAGACACATGCCATTTGTAAATAGTCAACTTTGTAAGTTGTTCTCTTACAGTTTCTGCCTCAACTGTCGTGCAAAGCAGGGGCTCTGTCTGTGAACGTTCTGGGAGCTCAGGCTCTGCCTGTGCACGTTCTGGGAGCTCAGGTTGTACCCTAAAGCAGGAGGGGCTCTGCTTCCTTCACTGGCTGCATTTTGCTCCTGCGTGCTGAACCACTTGCATTTCCCTCTCTCTTCCCCCCCGGCCTTTGCACATATTCTACCTCTGCCTGAAGGGCTCATTCCTTCTCTCTTTCCTACTGGGGAAAGAGGAGAAATCCTACTGGGCCTTAAAGACCTTGCCCAAGTGTCATGGACTCCAATGAGCCTGCCTGACCCCCTGCCCTGTGTTAGGTGCCTCCTCTATGCCATTCTGTTGGAGCACATGCCACAGGCATCTCTTGCCTGTCTCTCTGCCAGCCAGCCCACAGGCCTCTTGAGATTGGGCCCATGTATCGCTCACTATTAAATCTCCAGACCCCAATGGTCCTCACCACATAGTAGCTGCTCAATAGACATTTGATGAATAAACAAATCCATGAATGAGTTGTAGACCTGCCCAGTGTCAATGTCCTCCAGCCAAAGGCCACCAGGGACACACTTGTGGTTGAATAAGTTGGAGAATTGTGGGCCTCTCAGTGAGAGGGTATTAGAAAGGACTAGGCACTTCAGGAAGGGTGTCAGGAAATGAGGCTTTGCTCTGGCTCAAATGCTACCAGGAGGAGGCGGGGGCAAGCCTAAGATTGGGCATCTCAGTAAATTTTGCCTACAGGGAGGGAAGACCAGACTATGGCTGGAGTTGTAATTGATAAAGAAGCAGTAGCCCCTCGCAGGAGCCAGGATGGGGGACGTTTGGTCATTTTTGTAGCTTGAACACTGTCTATGTTTTATCTGTGTTCACACACGATTACGGAGGGACTCATTTGTGTCTTGATCTGTCTCAGTCACAGAGTGAGTGGTCCTGCCTGATGCTGATGTTCTGAGAATTGTTCATGTTCAACAGGAGAACAGAAGCCTGGCTGTGAATACCAGGCAGGGTCCCTGGGTTTCTGACCAGCTGCCCACCTGCTCAGTCACCTGTCAGCGCCACCACATCTCCCACCCTGGTCTGGCCTCCATCTTTGCCGTTCACCTCATGCTCTTGCCCACTGTCAAGACCTGCTCCTGGACGGGGTTTGATACGGGTGGTGGGGGAGGCATGTTGAAGTGCCAAGAATCCTGGACCACATAGGAAATCAGCACATTTGTGCCCGGACGTGTGTTCTGTTATTAACGGGCAGCATGACATTGGTCCAGCCCTCTCTCTCTCTGAGGGTTCAGTTTCCTCATCTTTGAAGTGATGGCCTTGGGACCAAACTTCTAATAGGTCCTTTTATTCCACTCTGAAGGGGACTGAAAAACTTCATTATCCTCTGACAGAGGCATATAAGTTTTTGTTCCCTGTTGAAATCAATGGCTTCTGACCTCTAGGGACAAGTGTAGGGGTCAAATGCACATGTAAGTGTGTGTGTGTGTGTGTGTGTGTGTGTGTGTTGAGGGGATGATTTTCTGGCACTTCTAAACCCCACGATGAAGCAGCCCCCATGTTGCCCATTCCTAGGGTCACCTTTCAGTTTGGGAACTTGGGAACATGAGTATGGGGAAGGGGAGCCAAGGGTGGTCCTTTGATTCTTGGCTCTAGTCTCACCTCCTCCATGCAGCCTTCCTCCAACACACAGCAAGCCCTCATCTCAGACCCTTTACTGGTGTTGGTGGCCATGTGGTCAATGGAGAGCCAGACTGTAGTGGGGGGATAAATACAACGTCCAGCCAGAGCTCTGTGCACAGGGTTGAATGCTTGGTGGATGACCGGTCCTCCTTCATCCATCCCTTCCTTGCCCCTTCTCTCCAGCTCTCGTTTCTTCCCAGAGGACGAGGACCAAAAGTGGGGTAAGAAGCAGCCTGTGTAAGCTGACCAGGATGTCCTCCTCTTGACTTGGGCCTCTTGTGAGTCCTTTCCTGTGAGCTCCCGGCCTGCTACCATGAACTCCCCACGTTCAAGTATCACAGTCCAGTGGCGAGGTCTTTGTGTTGTCACAGCCCTGCAGACTTTCCTTTCACTGCCATCCCCACTGGATTCCTGGCTGAAGAGGAATGGAGACTTGAGTGCTGTGGCCTCGATTCTAAACCACCACCTCCCACCCTGCCAGGCTGGTGTCTCTGGGCCCCTTCCCGCCCTGTGCCTTGCTAAGACTGGACCCGTGGCAGGCTTGCTGGGGAAGGGGTGAGGCCTGCAGAGCAAGGTGCCATTATCAATACAGAGGGTGGAGTTGCAGAGTCAGTTGGGGCAAATTTGGTGGCATCTAGTGTGACAGAAAGTCCTGGTCAGGGCTTCAAGACCTGAATTTCAGCTCTGCCTCTGCCCCATCTCCCTGGTGACATTTGTGAAGTCCCTTCTTCCTCCAGCCTCACATTTCCCATCTGTGCAGCGAGGGCACCACCACTATAAGTGCCTCTACCACCAGAAGTCTGGCTCCCTGTGGAAAGGGATACCCCAGGAACGAATCTCAGGGGTCTCTAAAGAGGCCTGCTTTTTCTCTTTGCAGCTTTCCTGATTTTGCTCCCTTGTGACGAGGCTGGGCTTTCAGCACTAGGTGCAGTGGGTTAGAGTTTCAGCCACAGCAGCATTTGAATCCTGGCTGTGAGTCCTGGATCAAGTTACAGAATCTCTCCAGGCCTCAGTTTTCTCATCTCTAAAATGGAGATAATACTGGTGGTTTCATTGGATTATTCGAAGGATTAAATGCAATAAAACAAGCCAAATCCTAACACAGCGCCTGACACATAGTAAACCTTTCATGAGTGCTATTATTATCATCATTGTTATTGTTACTATTGTTGTTTACCACCTGACCTCTGTTACTCTAGGGAAAGAGAGCCCCTGCCGAAGTCTAAGTGGGCAGCTTGGCATGGCTTGTGCAGGTGGCCAGGGAGCCTGGGTTTGAGCCTTCTGCATGCATGCCCCAGGCGGAGACTCCAACTAGAAACTTCCAGCTGCCATGGACAGGTCCTTCAGCATGCACTGTGCCAGCAGCCCAGGGAATCGCCAATATACACACACATGGGCTGCTGTGAGCATAAAAGAGCTCCCACCTGCACAGCACTTGGCCAGGTGCCTGCCTAGAGCCCTCAGTGAATCATAGCCAACAGCACTGTTGTCATTGCCACTAGGTGTAGCCATGTCCAAGGTGCAGGAGTCAGACGCCCTGGGCAGGGACAGGCTGTGGACTCCAGGCAAGTGGTTCAACCATCCTGACCCTCAGTTTTCTCCTTTGTATAATGGGACCAGCAGCACCCCTTTCACAGAGTTACGAGGGGGATTACACAGAGCACAGCTATGAGGGTTGCTTGAGCTGCAAAGACAGTCATGCTCAGTTCCTGTTTTGTGTCCAATATGGATGGCTTCCTTCATGCACTTACCCCACCCCTGCAAGTGCCCCTCTTTTCACTGGGGACATTTGTCCCATCTCCACGTTGGTGGCAAAGAAGACAGAATCCTCGACGCCCATTCTTTCTCTGTCTCCTGGCCCCAAAACCTTCAGCTCCAGGCTGCACTTGGCTCCATGATTAGTCGACCAGCAGCTAAGAGACAGGAAAACTCAAAAGGAAGGGACATGCACAGTGTTTTTGTTTTTGTTTTTGTTTTAATTAAAAAGAAAATGAGAAAACAAAAACACTTCCCAGGGTATGCTGTGATGACACATCACAGGCATGTAAATACATATAAAAATGAGAAAAAAGTCCCAGGATCTGCAGGCATGGACCCCTGTGCAGTGGGCTATAGGTCCCTCCCTTGAGTCTTTGTTTCCTCAGACGTTCACCTCTCCCGGGCTATAAAAAAGGAAGCGCTCATTCAGCCTTGTTTCTCTTGGAAGACTCAGCCACTTTCAGCTCACTGGTCCATGACATGAACACAGGAAGCTGGGCTTTACAAGATTTTGTAAGTGGACAGTGCTGGGGTGGGGGGCATGGGGTACGTGACTCCTCTCCCTGCCCTGCTCAAGGTCTCCGGGGCTGGGGAAGTGATGTCCCCCTGTGGGGAGAGGTGGGACACACTGTCCTTCAGGGGCATGAGCTTGGGCTTTCCTCCTGAATGGCAGCAAAAGAAGTGCCTACAGGTAAGTTGGGAGCCCCAGAACAAGGACTTGGAGCAGGATGAGATGTGCCTGGGGCCAGGGCTAAATTTTGATGGACAGCCATAGGGCAGTGGATGTGCTTGCCTTATAAGCAGCTGACACACTGACCTGCCTTGACTGTTCAACCAATTGTTCCATTCCTGCCTTTGTTCACCCAAACTCTGGGGGTCATACAGACCCAGACTCAACTCATGACTCTGTCACTTACTAATCTGTATAATGCTGTGAAGTTACTTAGCTTCCTAGAGCCTCAGTATCCTCATCTGTTAAAGGAGGAGGTTCATTTGAACCCCACAGGGTAACTGTAAATAGTAAGTGTGATCATGCCTTTAAAGAGCCTAGCATAGCACCTGGCACATAGGAAGTACTCAACAAATGGCTGCCATGATTACTGCTATCAGGAGCACCAGTATTTCCACTGCAAAGTTGGTGAGTGTGTGTGTGGACGTATGTGAGATAAACAGAAGGTTTACACAATGTTCTAGGGGAAGGATGAATTGCTCTGAGCTTCCTGTGTATGCCTGGGTAGTTGAGAGTCTTGGACCACAGCGATGCTGGCATGGGAGGCCTCAACTGCTTTCCTCCCATGCATGTCCATGTGGTTCAGGAGCTGTTCTGTTCTAAACCTCAGTGCCCTCCCTGGGGTAGAGGACACTGTTTGTGTTGATGCTGTTGTAGAAATGAGGGCTGAACTGGTTGAGGACAGAGCCTCCATAGCCGAGAGCGTTGGTGGGCATGGGGTTGGCCCATTCGCCCCCGCCCCCATGGCTGCTGAGGTTGGTGAGTGGAGTGTAGGAGCTGAAGTTCAGCAAGTTCTGCCCCATCTTGTCAGCGGGCTCAGGGCTCAGTCCTGGTGTTGCCACAGGGCGGCTCACCGGGCTCGAACCGCTCACATAGGCTGTCATGGTGGAGAGGAAGTTGTTGAGGCATGGGGTACCCGACGGGGGAGGTGAGGACTGCTTCTCTGGGGAGCTCGTGGTGCCTGGTGACGCACTGTCCAAGATGTCCTGGGCCTCTGCGGTCTTCGGGCTGCCCGCCAGGAGGCTGCTGTCTGTTTTCTCCGAGGCCAAGGATCCCGTGCTGGAGGAGACATCTGATTTTCTCTTCCTCTTCCTGCGGAAGTTTCCGTTATCGAACATCTTCTCACAATTGGGATCCAGGGTCCAGTAATTCCCTTTGCCTGGCACAAAAGTGAGAGAGGTTAAGTAGAGAGATGGACAAAATGCTCTGCTCCCGTTTCTGTGTAGCGTCACAAACTAAACACCAAAGAAACACACGCAAAAGGCGGAACAAAAGGCAGGGAGAGAGACACAGAGGAATAGTGTACAGAAAACACAGGGATCTTTAGCTCAGCTCCCTGCTCACAACTGGGAGCACAGAGGCGTGAGCCATGAAAGTGCTTACAATGCGGGCCTCTGGGAGACGTTCAGGGGCTGGGGGAATGGAGAGGGAGGGGCTCCTTCCATTGCTGATGTGGAAGAAAACTAAGGAAACACTTCAGGGCTCCCCGAAAGTTTTGGGCATGGAGTCCAAGGGTGGACTTGAGTCCTGGCTTTGCTCCTAAGTGGTGGAGGGACTTCGGGCAAGCCTCAGTTTCCTAGTCTGAAAAGTGGGTCGGTTGTACCAGTCCCTTCTTCCTCAGGCTGACTGTGAGAAAGGGCTGATGCTAGACATGTAGCTGGGCTGCATCACCATGAGGTGCTGTCCAGAGGTAAGGCCTGAGCTCAGCCTGCGGGTGAGGCCAGTCATTGGACTGGACACTTGCCTTCCCCTGGGGCCCCAATAGTTCTACCCTTGCTAGCCTCGAAGTGGGTGAAGGTGGGGGCTCTGAGCCATGCCCTGGCTTCCTGTGGGGGAAAAAGAATGGACTTCAATTCAGGGAAATGCATAGCTGAGTTTTTAACGGCCCTGTATGGCCATTCTGTATGGCACTGAATTTTAGAAAGTAATCATTAAAAAGGAAAAGTTCACAGTCTTTGGTGGTAGAGAGACCTCCACTCAGCTTCAGGCTCCACGGCTATCCCTCCATTCTGTGTCACCTTAGGCAGGATGCCTCTAAGTGTCAGTCTCCTTATCTGTACAATGGGTTTAATAAGAGCTATCCTGCAGGGTTGCATTAAAGAAGGTTATGTACGGCAGGCAGCACAATGTGGCCCATGCTTATTCAACAAAGTTAGATCTTCTCCGAGAAGGCTGGGGGTGCACTTGGGCTTGGCCTAGTCCAACTCACCCCAAGGACTTTCTATGAGCTGAGGGCTGGGGACTCAGATTAATCATAACAGTTCCTATAGTCTACTGGGTGCTTGTTAGCACCAAAATCCCTGCATACATTATCTCATGACCCCCATCACAGGCCTGGAAAGGAGCCACTGTTACCTTCCCTATTTTGCAGGTGGGGAAACTGAGGCTCAGGGACCTAAAATGCTGGAAGTCGCTGGCTGGTCCGTGGTCCAGCCAAGGTCAAAACCCAAATCTGCCCCCTGGGCTCTCCCAGTCTCCTTCACTGACAACCTTGAGCCCCCTGTCTTGGGGGGACACAGCCATATCAGAACTGTCTAGAATGGGGTGCTGGTTTGGAATGACATGAACCTTCCCTGGGGGCGTCGGAGGCTTGCCCCACCCACTCCACACTGCGCCCGCAGCCCGCTTACCCGGGTCGTCCTCATCGCGGGGCACCTTCTTGAAGCAGTCGTTGAGAGACAGGTTGTGGCGGATGGAGTTCTGCCAGCCGGCCTTGCTTTTGTTGTAGAAGGGGAAGTTGTCGGCCACGTACTGGTAGATCTGGCTGAGGGTGAGCCGCTTGTCGGGCGCCCCGTGGATGGCCATGGCGATGAGAGCCGAGTAGGAATAGGGGGGCCGCACCAGCTTCATCAGCTCCTCCTGCGAGGGGATGGGCAGCCAGCCCAGGTCGCCGCCCCCCAGCCCAGACATGCCTGGCAGCAGCTGCCTCTGCACACCGTAGGCCTGGGGCAGGAAGGGGCTGGTGTTGGAGCCCGACAGGTAGGGTGGTGGAGTCATGGCTGGTCCATTGAGCCAGAGGTAGGGGTTGGGGGTGGCCCCGTACTCGCCGCCCCCCTCGAAGGAGGGGGGCCGCTGAGGGCTGGGCACGCCCTGTGGATGGAAGAAGTTCTCATAGTAAAGGCTCATCTCGGGGGGCTCCTGGCCGATGCTGGGGAACTGGGGGCTGCAGCGAGGTGGGGAGGGTGCCGGGAGGTCGAAGGAGCTCATGCTGGGGCTGGGCTCGGCCGGAGCCACCTGCCTGGCACCTGCACAGGGGAGCTGTCCCTGACAGGTGCTCTGCTGGCCCAGCCTCCCACTTATACCCCTGCAGGCTTGGCCTGTGGGCCCCACCCAGGGGCGGCCACCTGCTGCAGACCCGCCCCTCCTCCAACAGCCCTGAGAGCCAAGGGGAGGGGGCCTCCTGGCCAGGCCCACTGCGCATGCTCAGACCGGTGCTGTAGCTGATGTCCACAGTGCCCAGGGTGCCCCTCTTCCTTCTCTCTCTTCCCAGTTCCCCTCGCCCCCTTATCTCTCTCCTTTCTCCTCATCACCTGGTTCGCCTTGTTTCTCCTTCATTCTGTCTCTCTTCCCGTTGTCTCCTCACTTGTCTCTCCCCTTTCCTCCCCTTCTTTCATTCTTAATGTCCTCTCTGCATCTCCTTCTCTCCTTCCCTCCTTGCTGCCAAATTCTTTCCCTTCTCTTCCTCCCCCTTCTCCGGATTCTGTCTTTTCAAAGCACTGTTCTGGACCCCTCTCCTTCCCTTCCTTCTTTCTCTCTCTGAGTTTGTTTCTATCTCTTTCTACTTCTCTGTCCCCTCTTGCTCACCTCCTGTGTGTTTCTGCTTCTCTCAGCTCTCTTTCACTCCTGTCTCTGTCTCTCAGTTCCTGTGTGTCACTTTCCCTGTCTCCTGTCCGCTCTTCTTGCCCACCCTGACCCCTCATTCTCCGCCCCCTCACTCAGACTGGATGAGGCACTTTACGGGAAGCCACATCTTTGAGTCTTCTGAAGTGAAGACACACTTTCTGGAGTTTCAGGAAAGAGCCTGGCCTTGGAGAATCAGAAGAGCAGAAAGGAGCCTGGCCAGAGAGGGCAGCTGATTGGCTGTAGGCACCCTGTGTGCACCCACACACACCCCCCAGGGCAGGCAGGCTGACAGGGCTTGTGGACAGGCCTGGGGATTGTCCTGGAGGAACAGCAGGGCCCATCAAGACAGTGACCAAAGGAAGAGACTGTGAATGGGCTTCTGGGGAAGATGAGAGAGAACTTGCACTCTGAAAGTTTCTTTCTGCCTGCAGGGGCCAAGCAGGCCCCCGGGCCACTATCTGATCAGAAGTTTCTGTTTCCGGGTACTGACCCCCCCCCCCCCCCCCCCCCCCCCCCCGAGCTGAGGCCTGGAGAAGAGCCCTCCACCCCTCAACTCAACTCACCATTCTCCTCACACCATCTCTGCCTCAGGCTCTCGAAGCGGGAGTCCAGCTCTCCCTGCTTCTCCATGTTACGGTCGGTCCCTCTCCTCCCTGGGCTTTGTTCTCCTCCTGGAACTTAGAGATGGCTTGCCCCAGCCTTCCTTCATCCCAGGCAGGCTCTCAGCTTGAGGCGAGGGGAGTGGGCCCCCTCTCAGAGGGTAGGCAGCTGTCCCTGAGCAGGCTTTGGTACAGCCTGAGTACTTCTCTCTTGGATCAGCAGATTGGAAGAAAGTTCCAGTCCGCTTTCTCTGGTCACCACCTCCCTCCTGCCCTCCTACCTTCCTTCTCCCCATTCAACTTTGTCTCACTCCTCCAGACCCCATGTGCCTGAGGGGGAAGAAGGAGGTCACTTCCTGTGTTAGCTGGAGGGGCTGCCTCTCAGGGAATCCCCCCTTCCCCGGCTGTCTGCTCTCCTCTACAGCTGTGTCAGGAGACTGACGTGTGGGAAACCTGAGGGCCATGGAATGCATCTCGTTTGCAGCATATTAGTGCTCAGAGGATGAGCTCAGGTAACTGGATGGGAGGGGTCCTCCCAGGTCCTGAGAAACCACCTGTCCCCACTGGGGAACAGTGGATGAAGTGACTCCAAAAAGGCCTGTCTGCCCAGGTTAGGCATGGGGTAAGCATACTGCGCCTTCTCTCAGAAGAGTAAAGCAAAGGAGGCCCCATCTTTGTTTCAAGTTTCTCTGCTGGGCCTGGCTTGCTGGTGTGTGTGTGTGGGGGGGGGGGG